AAACAAAAAGTGACCAATTAGGGAGACCACAAAGGCCTAAAAAATGAAAACAGAGATATATCCCTAAAAATAAAATAAATTTGCTCCTCCGGTGCTTACAGAGGAAGTGAGGCAGATGTCAGAAGCAGAGATTAATTTCCCAAGGAGAAGGAAATAAGGCTCATGCCAAGAAAGAATTGAAGAAATTAGAAATGTGCAAAAGCTGCCAAAAAGTCCAGGACCAGATGGGCTGCAGCCTACATTTCTAAAAGAAAGAGCAAATGAGATGGAAGAACCATTAGCAGATATATTTAGAAAACGTGTGAGAACGGGGGAATTACTGATGGACTGAAGAGAGGCAAATGTAACACCCATACCATACCCTGCACTTAAGTAGCAGCAATGACTCTGGAACTGTGACAGTTCCCTACTGCCAAGGTATTGTGCTAGCATTAACTGCTGACATGGCAGAAGGGGCTGCTGCTTAAGTCTCTGCTGTAACGGAGACGTGCTTGTCCAGAAGAGTTAAGCATTAGTCCCGGCAGGCTTTGTCTGCTCTTCAGGAAAAGCTTTCTTAGGGTGTTTTAAAATTCTAACGATGCTCAAAAGAGAAGTCTTTATTATTTCATATTACTTTGAATAGTGAAGTATCCATTTTTCTGCTTTTATGGGTAATTTACTGAAATACAACAGTCAACCAGGTCAGAGAAAGATTCACTACTCCAGCAATTCGTATATATGTTCAGCCATACTAAAACAAGCCTTGAAAGCTAGCTCTGCAACTAACTTTGAAATTTAACATTGAAATGACAAAAACAAAACAAAATGCCACCACATATGAATGTTCACAAGCAAATCACAGCAGTAGTAATTAATCTAGATCTCAAAATATTAATTCCAAGTAAAACAACATAAGATGCTATGGGAAGAGAAGCAGAAGGTAGTGGCAAAAACTTGACCTATAAGAGAAGTATTTAATTTCTAAAAAAATTCTTTAGTGATGTTAAAGGAAATAATCAATAATTAAACAATTAAAGAAGAATTGCTGACAAACTCTAGAAAACTGAATGACTTCTCTTGGAGTCCTGATCCATAAATATAGCTCAGCATATAGAGAATGTTGCAGTGTAATTCAGATTGGCATACCAAATGAATTTTGGAAGCAATAACTTCACTAGATGGCAGATTTTTTTTATTCAGCTATAATTTATAAATAGGAATTCTCCCCAGTCTGGACTTACATTCCTTCCTTTTTATAAATAGCCATTTTTTTTACCACAAAAATCTTTCATTCATTGTTTATACTCCGCCAAATTCTAATCTATACATTTCCCTGATACCTCTCTTCATACACATGATACTAGCTGATGAGAAAAACTACTCAAAAAATAACAAGTTAATTCACATTCACTTTCTTTAGTTGCAGCATAAGAAACTAACTTCAGTTCAGTTTCTTCAACTGTTCTGCAGGCAAACTTTTGTTCATGCATCAGCCTACTGGAATCTGGTACGGGAATGGAAATGTTATACCAGAGGACAAAATCTAAACCACTACCATCACTTATCAGAGCCAACATACAAAGTGTGCACCTAGCAATGGAGAAACAGAAGAGTTAAAAATATTGGTAGAAATTTGAAGAATTTTTGTTTGGTCAAATCTTTTAAGAGATTTGAATGCTAAGAAATTTGGTGCAAAGAAATGCAATTATTTTAAAAGCAAGAGGCGACTCCTGTTATCGTAATCGCAAGCACTTGGCAGCCATTAAGCTCCAAGAGAAAATAATCTCCAAAAAGTTTTTAAAATCTGAATCTATGTCAAGTACTCCTCTATCAGAAGGGTAACAATTGAAGTAACTCAAACTAATCAGACTCACAAGTTCAACATTGTTATCTGAAACAGTTTATTTCCTAATAGTTATGACTTTTTCCTCTTTTAATGTAATTGACACTCACTGTAGTGTACAAAATACTTTTTGTATTTGAGAACACAGCATTAACAACTGTTATACAGTAACGGTAGGCTCAGACAAAATCCTAGTAGTCTACCAAAAGAAAACAATATTAATAGGTTGCGGTAAAACTTACACAATTTTTAAGGCACATTGCTTGTCAAAGAGGTTAACTCACTGATCTGGACACCGTGACAAATTCTTATGGGAAAAAAATGCAGAAGGACATGTGAAACGCTGCTACATTACATATGCACATTTTGTCAAAGGCAATATTTACCACATGAACCCTTATTAACACTACCATCTCACTATTTTAATAACATAGATTTGAATCTAGTATTGCTTTGTCCAAATACATTAATTGAAGCTCTGTTAGCATCAGCATATGAAGAATAAATTAATTTTCATTATTAAGTGAACTACACGAATCTCACAGAATATACGATGTAGCTGAAAATTGTCTTTCAGACAAAGGACAACCAGCAATTTGGAATATCCTTTTCTTGCCATACAGACAACTGGTTAAAAAGAATTCTCTGCCATGTCATCTTAGGCAAGTCAGAGTTAAGTTCCACTTAAAGACACGTGCAGACCACTACTGACTACAGACTAAGTGCTTCTAATTTCACTATTATTTTTTAAAATACATTAATACACTTTTGAAAATGGAAGCATGCTTCATGAATATCTATTAATTCTAACCATAGTCCAGTTTTCAATGTATCTACTAAGCAATAATTCACTTCTGTCAGCCATTTAAGATTTCACACTCTCATCTCCGGTATGATCACTACCTTTCTTTAGAACTGCATACTCACCAAAATGTCTGTGACTCAATGGATCTTCTATTTAAATTACCAAGCCAAATTCTAACACTTTCTAAACGAGAGACACTTGTAACAGTGGCATAGAAGCAGTACTAGATACCTGTATTTGTTTACACATAATGAATACCAGAGTCTCTCCAAGACTAAGTATGAGTAAAAGAAAAATATAAGTCAAGTACTTTAATGTCTATTACATCAATCTTTGTAAGATTTTTCCAATTAGATATTATGGCACTATTATATTCAGAAATATTAACACTTTTTCATAAATATATATACATATTGAGATATTAAGGTAGATTGCTGGGAACACTAATCATGCTATCACAAGAAATATATTTTGAAAAAGAAGAATAATACAGAAAAGAATGAAGTTTATGTTCAGCAACAATCCATTTCAAGAAATATTTATCTAGAAAGATACAATGAAAAGCAGCATAATGTATAGGTAACAGGTTATTAGAATTAAGTTAAAACCGTAAGTCTCCATACTTGTCTGAGAGAAAGTGACAGTAGGAACTGAAAAACATTTGCTGAGATATTGCAAGACTCTTATTCTCTTCTTAATACAGTCTTAAACCGCACTATAGTCAAAGGCAGGCAAGCAATAATGAATCAGTGTGCAAAGCAGAAAATACAAAAAGTAAAAAACGAAAGTCCTGTAATTTTTCTTGGCATGGAATGGAAATCTATTTTGCAATCCTACATTACACTCCAATCATACTGAGAGTTTTTCAATTTATAAATGCATACTGCAAGTTCTTCTAAGTTTATTTCTGCATGAATTATGTGTTAAAGCATTAAAATGAAGACTTCAATCACAGACAACCACCACACAGGTTATCAGAGTAATGCAATGGCATTCCTATTACAATAATGCTTACATATAGAAATGTCTGTTAACATGATACTTGCGAAGAAAGTCTGTTAACACAGGAAAATTAATGTGGTAAAAGACATTAAAATACATTTTAAGAAGCATTAACCCTTAGTAGTGGGATCAAGAGTCATCTACAGACAAATCTTATGTACACATACAATAAGAAAATACAATTCCAGTTGAAACAGTATTTTATATTTATATATTTCTAAAAGTAGGAGTGAGCAGCAAATCAAACAATAAATGTCTCTTCATGAGTTAAATTCATTAACTTATGAGTTAACATTTAACATCAAATTATTCAGTTCATTTTAATTGGTATTTCACTGTAAAACTTTACAAACATGTGAATTACTTCAAGTGGCAATCAATTACAGGTCTACTAATAACAATATTAGTTAATTTTTATCAGAACATACACTGCTCATCAAAAATTAACCAAGACTTTACCATATTTTATTTCTTCCAAGTGTTCCAATGTCTGTAACACACGAATACTAGAAAAACACAACATACCACAGTATTCAGTACTGTGATTCAGTACAGCTATCGCTGACGCACTCTGGATTTTTACCACTGCATTGCATTCTAAAATCACATGTGCCAAACACCTTGTTTTATTCATTCTTAGCAAATGAAATAGTTTTCCCAAATTAATCTTCCTATCCCCTTAAGGAACATACCACTTAGAGGGAATCTGTATTTGAGGAGAAATTTAACTGACAAATAGAAACAATTAATTACTTTGCTCAGATTGCTGCCTGCTTTAGATAAGGAAAGACTACCAAATATTTCTCAAACCTAACAATACTGAGTTCTTACTCAATTATTTCCTAAATTATATTGCAAAATTAGTATCATTCCATACATTTTAGATGCATCTTCATCCAAACTCAACGTGGTACATAAGAATAATTGAAACTATGCATTCTTTTTACAGAATAAAATAAGGATCGTAATTAATAAACATTATTTAATAAGCGGGAAAACATTTCCAAAACCAAAACTATTTTAAAACCTTCTTTCCTTCATTTATAGTAGTTTGGAAGCATACATAATGTTACATTACACCGGCAAATGCACAGACTGCAGTACTATACAGGAATTCAATCCAGTTTACCAGTCTGGTACTCATCATCAACCAAAAGTACAATGGGATGCCACAAGGTCCACAGTAGGCTACTGAAGCCCTTACTTAAAGCCCATTTGTAACATTTCAAAGTAGCAAGATATCAAAAACAAATCTTGATAGGCACAGGTGCATATAAAGACAAAACTTTTAGGAGTTTGTTATGCAGAATCCTTTGCTCAGCTTACACAAGTCTGTATAACACAACTGACCGCAGTCCCACCATCACTCACCACAAGTGAAAGGGGCCTCTTCCATGAAACAACACCAATCAATCCTGACAGCAGCACCTGCAACAGAGAGAGCAGAGTTACCAAAGACATGGGTTTTACAACAGCATTGTTAAAAATGATTATATTGGTACGTGCTAAGGTAAATTTCGGTCATGACATGTTTCTAGAGTGTTGGAAACAATCTGCTGAAAAGATAATGTTTTCACAGAATCACAGATCACAGAATCACCCGGGTTGGAAGGGACCTCAAGGATCATGTAGTTCCAACCCCCCTGCCTAGCAGGGCCACCAAACACACACATTCAGATCAGGTTGCCCAGGACCCCGTCCAACCTGGCCTTAAACACATCCAAGGACGGGGCATCCACAACCTCCCTGGGCAGCCCGTTCCAGGGCCTAACCACTCTCCTTGTATAGAACTTCCCCCTAACATCCAACCTAAATCTTCCCTCCTTCAACTTCGATCCATTTCCCCTAGTCCTGCTATTGTCAGCCCTTTTGAAGAGTTTACTCCCCTCCTGGGTGTAGGTTCCCTTCAGGTATTGATAGGCTGCAATGAGCAGCCTTCTCTTCTCCAGGCTGAACAAGCCCAACTCCCTCAGCCTGTCCTCATAGGGGAGGTGCTCCAGCCCCCTGATCATCTTAGTCGCCCTCCTCTGGACCCTTTCCAAAATCTCAATGTCTTTCTTGTACTGAGGGCTCCACACCTGGACACAGGACTCCAGATGGGGCCTCACAAGAGCCGAGTAGAGAGGGACGATCACCTCCCTGTCCCTGCTGACCACCCCTCTCCTGATGGAGCCCAGGATCCCATTTGCCTTTCGAGCTGCCAGAGCGCACTGCTGGCTCATGTTCAGTCTCTCGTCCATCAGGACCCCCAGGTCCTTCTCTGCCGAGCTGCTCTCAAGGACCACTCCTCCCAGCCTGTACGGGTGCCTGGGGTTCTTCCGGCCCAAATGCAAAACCTTGCACTTTGCCGTGTTGAACCTCATTAGGTTCACCCGAATGAGGTGAACCTAAACCTTTCATTTTATTCTGCATAAGACTTAAACAGAAGTACTGTTAATCTGTTTTTCAATCCAACCGCAAATCCAATTAGTTCTGATAGAATACAATAGGTCTTCAAACAAGTTCTCCCCAAGCCCCAGATGTTATCAACAATAACAGAGGAAAAATGTTTAGGGTAAGTTTTCACGTGATCTCTCAATATCCACAAAAATCAGCTCAGAGAAACACACAAGAAGGGGAGTCAAGATGTGGCAATCATTAACTCTGTTATTATTTCAACACAGCTACAGCAAACACAGAATGAGTAAAACACAACGGAGTGGAGGAAAAGAAAAGAACATCAGGAATTTTTTCCATTAGGACATTTAATTAAAATAAAATCCAGGGAATACGTTTATTTCATGGTTCTGCAGTATCATTTACCCCGTCTGACTAACATTAACTCTTATACTTAGCTAAGCTGATACAATCATTATGAAATCTTTCTGTAAACGCTTAAAGTAAGCAATAGTATCATTACTGCTCTCTATAGTCCTTTGATATTCAAAGGGGTGAAAGACCAGGAGCTAAAAAATACTCCTTCCCATTACGTGGTATTTGAAGCTGGCTGAAATTCAAATGTCAGAAAGTCACTATACTCACTGTATCATGCTTTACCAGCAATCCTTCATGTATATTAACAGTAGGGCATAATAATTAAAAAAGCATCTATATTTATCATCTAGAAGCAATGCTGTACAATCTTGCTGATAAACCAGGCTTGAAATAAGAGTGTCTGCTGATGTTTGGTGTGAATACAGAAGGAAGATCTGTTGGTGCACAGAAAAGCTGGGTGGTGCAGTGCCCAGTTTAAGCTCTCGCTATGTCTGGTCTGTGGGCACTCACATTGTAACATATTACACACAATTTAATGAAATCCACAGCTACTGCAGTTGAAAATATTACTCGGGAAGACATGTTGGAAGATGCATCTTCTGATATTTAGCAGCTGTGGAAAAACCTCAGATAAGGTTTCATAGTAAGACTACAATGTTAGTTCTGAATCCAAGTGCAAACAGAACCGGTGAAAAGAAAAAGAAAGCATGGCAAAAAGTGAGCCAAAAAACAGGATATGGGCGTCTAATGACCACGCAAATGGTCTCCACATACAAACACACATTTTGTATTCTACAGCATATCTTACAGCATTATAGTTATGCATCATATTTCTGCATGCTGACCAAGGCAGAGAAAAGCAGAGTTCCATTTCTGAAGTTAATTTAATTTGCTCACACAGACGCATTTGCCTATGATTGCTGTATGGCAACTGTCTCTGGCTGATAATCACGTAATGTGAAGCTGCACTCAAGAAGGTAAAATGACAGGGTTATCTAGCTTTTCTTCAGGCTAAACAGCGGTACGCTCTTAATTAAATAAATGGAACAGCTGAAACCACGAGGTTATTACAGAAAATCCTTTAAGAAAAACAAAAAACTGCCTTTCAAAAAAGAGTATGTGTTGATATGTAAAATACTCAATAAATCAGTACTTCTCAGTCACCAAGTTGTGTTAAAGAGTCAAAGTGGTTCAGTACACACTACCTACAGCTAGCAAATCGTCTCTTCCATTTGCCATGTAACCTCTCTACTGCAAGTTACATCTCTCCCCCTCAAAACACTTGTGGCACTGTGCATCTCTAGAACAGTTAAGCTGCCATATACACAACTGCTTAATTAGGAAAAAAGCATGCTGGGAACATCACATACCAACACTCATTAAAATGCATCAAGTGACTCTTAAAACAGAAATCTAAAGATGATTTCTTCTTGGCCTTGTACATAACTAAGACTTAAACGTAACAACATGAAAATTTTGTATTCTCTTCATTTTTACTTCTTTTTGTTTTTCCTTTTTACTTCTTACAAATGCAATGCCTATTTTGGGTAAAGTAAACAAAACTTTCATATCCAGAAGTATGAATTATTTGAAAAGTAGTAAGCAACCCACAGATCTAAGAAACCATACAGTCATCATTCATGGTATCCAAGGCTTCCACCAGTGGAAACAGTATGCATAACCCACATTCGGTTTCACCAGATGAAGGGCCATGAAGCCCAAGTACAAGGTGAGGGAGTTCTTTTACACAAGCATCTAAACTGCACTTCCTAAACACATACAGCTCAGCATATCAATCCACAGGTCTTCTCATGTTTTTCAAAAATCAATACATTGTAGGCACAACTTGCAGGTTTTTTTCTGTCTCAAACAGAAAAACCTAAATGGTAAATTGGTATTGCCTATTAAACTTTGATAATGGGTTTGATTTCAGAGCCTGCACATAACATTATCTAATGTCCTGGACCTAACTTCTAACTGCTGAGCTAGTGAAAATGCCCAATCATATCATAATTATATAATGAAACTGCTAAAATTTTGTTCAAAAGCATATGTTTGACAGCTTTTGCAGAATTCCTACAGTTATAACAATGGTGTTGATTCACAGAGCAAAAAATAAACAGAATACTTCAGTCCTGACTTCAGCAGTATTAGAAACACCCTACCACTAGGTATCAATGCCTTTCAACATGCACATAAAGACTCCATCACTAATGCAAGTTGTGCTCATGCACAGAGAAAATGCATTTATTTTAACATGCACATACAGAGGCAGGACAAACACAGAGGGTAAAATTACATCCCAGTACAGGGATTTCAAAAGATGGATTTAAACCAGCAGTAAAGAAAAAAAGAAAGAAATCCTTGACAGTTTGTTTGCCAGCATTTTCAGAGGAGTCTGACTTTGAATATGGGACAGATTAGATGATGCAGTCTCATGATACACCTTACACTACTGGTTTTACAAATCTTCAACTCCACCATGGTTATTTGCATACAATTCTTTTTCTGGTATCCTCCTTTTAAACATCTTTTTTGGACTACAAAAAATTATATTTATACAAGCATTAATTCAATTCAAACCACAATAAATACCATGAAACGCTATCAAGGTTAATCTACAGAACAGTAAAATTACTGATGTTTCAGCACTAATTTGTTTAGTAAAACAAATCCTCTCTTTTTTTTTTTTTAAGTACAACTTGAGATCTTGCAATGCCTTTCCAACATACAGCATATTAGCTACAGAAAACTCAAAGCCCAGTTACCTATCCTTATTTCTAGTTTCTTGTTGAGGATAATACACCATATGCCAAGTCATCTGCTCCTGCTCTGCAACTTTAAGAGCTCCTCAGCTCGTAAACTCTGAACAAATTCTGCAGACAATGGATTCAGTCACTAGTAAAATAAGCATTCCTATCGTTCATAAAAATTGAAGGAAACTTCTCCTTAGCCTTCTTCTAACATACCAGACATAGCAAATAATGGAAATTATGGTCATCTCTACCTCCTAAATTGCCTGAATAAGCAGAAACAACAGCTTCTGCATTTCCTTCCAAAGCAGAGGACAATATGCATATAACATGTCAATTCAAATGTACACCAATTCAAATATGTTGAAATAAACTATTTTTCGAGAGACAGAAAAAAGAGAGATCATAATATTTAATTTAGAGAGAGTAACTGTGCTACTAAAAGCATTGCAAATGTGGTGGAGGGGAAGCCAATCCAACACGTAAATGAGCTCCAGTAACAACTGAAATCAAAATGGAAACACTTGTCTAACAAGTTTGGTATAATTGATAAAACTACAGCACTCACTTTATTTTGCAGAATAATGGATAGCTTCATACCATAAGAAAATATAAGTGCTTCCAGGTGACTTAGAATAGACAAGGTAGCAATCAAAGTAAATTAAAGCATAACTAAGGAAATTAAGGCATAACTGCAGAAGCAGGGCTTAATGGAGTTTCAAACGAACTAATTAAGGGACAGACACCATATAACAACTGAGGAGAATATTGAAACAGCAAAGAACATGGTGTGGTTTTCTACGTACAAAGTGCTCATAAAAAGCAGCTTTACCTACAAACACGAAATAGTATTTTAAAAACAATACGCCAAAATTTTGTAGCATTCCACTGGACATAAAGAAAACACTGGGGGCAGCCTAA